CTAAGAATATTAACCCTAGAATCCATGACTCATTTTTTTGACCTTCTAATCCATGACTGGGGGCAATATCGACCCCACGCTTTATTTGATCGTAAAACCGGTCCTACAGAAATAAAGGGCCTTTAAACCTACATGAATTTCTTCGTTTTTTAATAACGAAGAGAATGGTATACGGTAAATTTAATTTTACTCAAGTTTAGTTAGTGAAAAATCCATTTAAAGACTGAAAAACGCAGAAAATCAGCAAAAACCTCTTTTTTTAAACAAAAATTTGTATCTTTTTTTGTAATCAACCGATTTTAAAAATTCAAACGGGGTTTTAAAGAGGACACATTAGACTATTAGAAAAAAATTGTCATCGCTATGTTTTGTTCAAAAAGTATATTTATTTGGGACTATAAAGATGAAGAAATTCGCAAAGTTGAAATACGGAAAAAGTCGATGAAAAAACCATAAAAAATTGTATTTTAAGTATTATTTCATTTTTATTTGATACAAAATAGTAAAAAATATGAAAAAAATGAAACATTATATCGCCCAGCCATTTTCTGCGAAATGTCAATCTTCTATAGGCAACGGGATTTTTACCGACTAAATTGTGTGATATTTCGTCTTAAATAATATTTATGACTATTTATGCTCAGATTACGTAATAATACATGATATATATTGATTCTAGCAAAAAAATAAAATTAGCTTACCGTGACGAAACTCAAACGGTAAGTCACGACTGGGGTCGATATCGACCCCACGCCCGCTTTGCGACTGTGCTACTTCACTGCTAGCGAACAACTAACGCTGCGCCCGACATAACCCTACTTTTAGAAAGTTGAAATGAATTATGGTTCAGGTCCTGAGTCGATAATGTCACTCGCTAGCTCAGGAGCGTAGTTCAAAGTTCGCCTGGGGTCGAAATCGACCCCAGTCATGGATTCTAGGGTTAATGTGATCGAACAGAAAAGACACGTAGACGGAAACAAACTGTTAATTATTAATTAAGAATTAGGGTCATAATTATGTTGTTCTTATCCTTCTAATCGCACACGCACGCAATTTGCCATCAATATTATTATTAGAGGTTTATCAGTTCTCGCCAAAACAAATATTAGTTCAACTATGACTACACCCGCCTAACCCTTTCTTGGAACTTGGGACAGCCCGTTCCTTCTTTCTTTTTATTGCTGTAGGTACCTATATAAACTTTCGTTATTGCGTTTAGTTTGTTATTTTAGAGAACGATTAATTTCGGAGAACATTGTACATATCTCTTTCATCAATCTATATATCTCACGTAAATATCTTGCAAGTTGAATATTTGATTACATCAGAAACGTTCAAATTTACTAGTCGCGAGTCAAGAGAGTTTCTGAACGTTATCAATCGCGCGATCGTGAAGATTCATCGAGGATGACGAAACATACCAGTTCTTTGCGTTCCCGAGAGTCGTGAAATCACGCATCAATTAATACACCGTTTCTAGGCCTAGCGAAACTAAGGAAATGAATTCGAATGTATCACGGATATATGTGTAGAAGACACATGTGTGGGCGAGATATTAGATATGACAAAAAGATTGAAAATTTTTATGTTTATTCAATCTTTCTATCGCACGTATAGGAACTTATTGAAATTCGTTCATGGCAAGTCTCGCTTCCGCGAATGCATTTCTAGGAGGGGAAAAGAATCATTGACGATCGACGACGACCCCGCGATCGCATCCGAGGGCGAATTGATTGAAATCAGTACGGCCTCTGGGGGACCGATTTATCATACTTAATTCATTTACGCCAACAATAAATTAAATTCGTAATTTTGCGTCTATCAGCCTCGACGTAAGAACCAATATGATAAGGCGTGACACGCATTCTGGCAAAATTTAAAAAATATACGACCTTGCTGTGCCGATCGGTTACACGGCGAAAGACGCGGCGTAAGTGTATATACCTGAGTCTGACTCATTATTTTATCAAAATGTTAAGTATTGGTTCGATTCTTGTCGCGCAATATTGCATCACTGAGAGCATCGAATCATTGATATATCGAATATTCTATGCGTCTTTGTGTCTGCCAAATCCCTCGAAAATATTCTTACAGATACGCGTCAAGGTCTACGATAGCATACGCGTTCGTGAATTGATAAAACACTTTTGCGTTTTTAGGATACATTCAACTTTCTCCAGATGAGAATTATTTCATCCGTCGAAAGAAGTCTCATTCTCTCTTTCTCTCGTCTACGAGAGGCATATGATTGCGCATTATTACGTACTTAGAGCTCCCCCGGTACGTCACATTTAGCACGAGCTCGACATCCTTATCAACTGCCACGTGCACGTGCAATTACGACGCCAAGAACGGCCTTAACTGCGTCGGAAACTATTCGCGACGCAGTAAGCCGCGCTTACGCATTCGAATTAAAATTCAGTATGTCTAGGCACTTCATTGTATTCTAATTATCCGTGGAGCCGTCCGACGCGAATCGCCGAGTGCGTCGCCGAATTCTGAATTCTGTTGGATCGGCACATAACAACGGTGCTCGGTCGAGATTCTTTACTTTTACTCTCGATCGTCCTTGGCTCGCACCTATGTGAACGAAAAAAGGAGAGGACCTTCGCGGTAGACGATTTTATCCGGATTTTATATGAATCGAACTTTATGCAGCTCGAGATAAAAAGAGTTCACGCGTCGGGTCTAATTCGAGATAGCTTGACCCAAAAGTACGCTGAACAGCGTGACCGGTGCGGCATTCCTCTTATCATAAAAATAATACGGAAAAACGCAAACGCGCCCGTTTCTCGACGCTTACTGCGTCGTTCGGCGTCACCGCCAAATCGAAAGTAAAGTATTACCTCGGCCACGATCCGCGGTCTACGTATATGCCTCTTGCATACCACATCTACGCCTTTTGCATCGTCGTTCGAAGATGTTGCTAAATCCGTTCTCACTTTAGCGCTTACAGCATCGTTCGAACGATCCTCACCTCCGACTTGGAGGTGTCGTCGAACCTCGCGAGCGATTACGGGGTGTCGCGTTATTTTCGGAAGTAACGGAATTCTCGGATTGAGCTGCTTTTCCTCGAGTCTCGTAATCTCTGCGCGAGGAAAGGAGAAAGAGAGAGAGCGAGTATTTCTCTGAAAGCGGATACAGGAAGTACGGATATCGATCGCGTAGCGGAGGGTAAACAAACATGACACGAGTCGCCGCTGCGTGGTCGAGCTTGGTCGAGCGGAGCTCGCTCGAAAGTCTCGGTACCTCCCAATCCTCCCATTCATCGTGCGCCGTGCGCCTCGGAATACGCTTTGTTGTCAGGCGACTGCACGCGCGGGAAGCGGGAAGAGGAGCGCGGCGCGGCGCGGCGACGCGGACGGCCGCATCCCGAGGTCGCGCAAGCGCGACAAGAGGATCGAACAGCTGTAGCAGCACCGTCGTCGTCGGCTCGAATCGAGTGCGCGTTGCTACGCGCTACGCGACTTCAATTATTAAGGAGAATCAACGCGATAGCGACATGATTTTCACGACCGAATCTTATTCGGGCTCGGACTTGTGCCAACGAGCTTTTACGTCGAACGGAGCCTCGCCCTTGCGAGGTTGCGAGCCGTGAATGAGAACCGCGGAGAAGGGCAGAATACTTTTCAAAAATAGCCGCTAATGGTCGAAGCGGCTTGTCAGCAAGACAAATTTTGACGCATTTTTTATGGGAGGGAAGGAGCTTAAAAGACTAATGCGCAGGTTAGATACGAGGGCAAGGGATTTTATTCTTGGATTTTAGGATCTAGTTTTTACGAATTATAGATTTGACGGCATCAGATAAGTTTGGCTGTTTTTATTATTTACGGTACGGCCTGAGAAATACTTGGAGCTTTATTTTTTCAAGATAGAATATTATTATATGACACGCGTAAACAACGTGCGTAGAATTGCGTGTTCTTCAGTCGTCTTAAATGCTACAAAGTTTAAAGCGTCGTCTACAATAGCAGCAGGAGTATGCAGTAAGACGTAAGCAGTAAGCTACTGACCAACCACAGTCGATTATTCTTGAATTGTAAAAATCCCATTAGTCAATAACTTACTGCTTATGTCTTACTGTAGACTCCTGCTGCCATTGTAGACGACGCATTAAGTGAACGCGGATTACGCGTGAAACGTGATTCACTTACATAGATTATCTTCGATTATTTGATAACAAGTATATGACGCGTACAGTGACATTATCGTGGAGGAAAATATATTTGCTGTCCAAATCCGCTGTTTAATTAGCCAGCGTCGGTGTCGGTGCACTAGGTCAGGTGTATTATTCTCACACAGGGGAGCGACGCATGCGCAACGCTGACGTCACGAGCGTGATCGCCGACAGGGTCGACTTTTATCGTGGGTCTCACGCTACGTAAATTATCTAGGTGTATTTAGGCGGACGGGCCTAACGGTTAAGCTTAAGTAACGTGTTCAACGTCCCGTGTAACGTTAAATGCGAATTTGACGAATTTATCGTTCGAAACGACCGATTCCGTTATGATAACGTTTCCGACGTGAGCTATATATATTTAAAGAAATCATTATCTAAATTTCTGTAGCGCGATTTAAGTGTTAAAGATTCTATTCCGCTTCGCTTTTCTCCAATATGGATGTTTTTTTTTCTTCCTTCTATATTATTTACCGATTAGATTGAGAAGATGAATAGAATAATTAATTAGTTTAAAAGGAAGATTCGGTTAGTTTTGCAAATTTACCTTAATCGTAGATCGAGTTGATCGAAGATCGGAGTTGAGCCTTATCTTAATTCTCTAAAGCGCGATAATTCTGGATAGCCGGGATCCGGGAGTCGGGAGCTCGGAATCATGTTCGTCGTCGGTGGCCGCGCGACGCTAGCGCCGCGGGTCGCGCGACGGCGGCGACTGGAGTCACTTCTCCCCCCCACCGCCGCGCCACGGACGTTCTGTCCGCCGTGCTCGGCGCTCGGCGCTCGGCGGCGGCGCGGCGGCCGCGGCAGTAAACAGCTGGCGACGCTCTGCGTCAGTACGATACGCAGAACGGGACAGCGCGGAGCAGGTCCGCCCGTCGTCCTCCCCCCTTTCCCCTCCATCCAGTTATATCCAGGCGAGATCCCCGACCGACGCGACGCGTTTCTCGGTCGCTGTCCAAGCCGAGCCTTCGCCGTCGCGAGTCGCACCGACGCGGAACAATCCCGATATTCTACAGCCGTCGACGAGGAGGCAAGCGCGGCGTCGCCGTGGAAAAAGTCAGCGGGGAAAGCGGAGCGGAGTCTCTTTGTTCGGCGCGACCGACTCTGCGCATAGACTGACAGCGGCAGCGCGCACGGCGCAGCATTGTTTGTGTTTTGTGTCGCGCGGCTGGTTCGGCATTCTCCCTTTTCGTCGCGGCCCTCTTCACGCGAGACGACAGTGTCGTCCCGCCCGGACAAGTCGTTCGGATTCCCCCAGGAGGTAGCCAGGGACGAAACGAAACGGGACACGGATCTCGCCTTCTCGCCGCGGCCGTCGCCGATGAACGACGGTGACGGTGTCGCTCGAATCGAGAAGCGAGCGAACGAGAGAGCGACGGAGTGCGAGAGAGCGCGGCGGCGGCGGACGCGGTGGCGTAACGCGGCGCGCGAGTGCTTTGTTTTGCCGAGCAGCTGATCCGACATTCGACATCCGACGCGACGGCAGCTACGCTCGCGACGACGAGCGCGTTGGCGTTTATCTCCGGCGCGCCAGCGTGAATCGTCCGTGCCCTCCGGCTCACTCTCGCCTCGCCTCGCGCGCGACACCCCGACGCGTAGTCGGGCACCCGGAAGAGATCTCCCCCGGGAGGCGGGAGCAAGCGCGTTCGCCCTCGACGAGGCGTTCCTCGACAGCAACAACGCGTGTGACAGGACTCGACCACGGCGACGCGACGAAACGGTCGGAAATCGTAGCCGTCGGATCGTCAATCGGAGCGGCGGCGACGACTGGCCCCCAGTGCTCCGAATCGATCGCCGACCCTTCGCGTTGCCAGATTTTCGTCAAGTCTGACGTAGCGCGACGCTTCGAGGGTGTAGAAACCAAATCGATTTTAGCGATCGGACGCTCCGCGGGGAGGGAATAGCGGTGGTGAGCGTGACGAAGGGATCTGGGATCGAGGTCCCGAAGAGTGCCGCGCGCGGTTTCGACGGACTGTGATCGTGACGGTCAAGTGTTTGGATCCCGTCATCCTGGACGCTCGCTGGAATCAAGCTCGATGACGTGAACCGTCGGGGGACTGCATCGGCTTTGGGAGCGGGGAGGTTATGACATAAGGTACGAGGTACGAAGGTACGACGACCGGCATTGCTCGTCACTGTCGTTCACTGGTCGAGGCGAATTTTAGAGCGACGCGACGTCCCGACGCGTCGGACCCCGAGGAACAAAGGAAACGACGCCGACGCTGCTCGAAGACGTTGACGATCGGGAATCGAGGATCCCGGCCACTTCCGAGCGATCCGGGTCTCGCGCGCGCGAGAGAGATACCTGGATGATACTCTGCGACGCGGCGCGATTCTCAGAGGCTTTGTCCCGGGATCGACGGCGAGGATCGCGGCGTTGATCGATGCGGCATAGTCACGAGGGGGCCGTCCTCGCGAACGATCGAGAACGTGGGGTACGGCCCCGATCGAGCTGACTAAAGGAAACCGTCCGAGCCGAGGGCCAATCCTGCTGCTGATAGGGCCCGCGGTGGAGAGAGGGATCCGCGACGGGGATAATACTACTTGGGCTACTATTCTAGCAGTTTCTCCTGTTGTCGTTGTGTCGCCATAAAGGCGCCTATCCACGAGACGCAACATGCTCTTCATCTTCCACGTTGATACCGGCACCACCATCACCTTCGACATCAAGCTGGCACTGCAAAGGTAAGATACGCAACAACGTTATTTTCCTCCCGTTAAATAATATTTTGCTCCTATTAAACGGCGTGGAATATATCTCGTATTTGCTTTCGAATTACGTAAGAGGTCATACGCGCCTCGTGTCGCGGTGGCATTCCGGTTGCGATAATAATAGCAGCAATAATAAATATTAATCGCGCGGCATTTAGCGATTCTCTAACAGGCCGCCGATCGACGCGCGCCTCGCGCGAATCCAAGGATTCGCCGAAGGCTAACGAATTGCAAAAGTGAGCCGCCTCCGGGCGACGGACGTGGGCGAGAGACGCGGATTCGCGTCGTACCGTACTTACCCAGTTCACGCCTTTTCACGCCTCGCGGAGAGAAGCTTTCAGAAAAATCGCGGCGACCGACGGAGACTCTTCCGCGTTGCGTCGCGGATTCGCGCCGAAAATAATACCTATACACACGACGAAATCGACGCAACGCGACGCGGCGCAGCGCGACGCACGTGGGTGTGGGTTTGGCTCGTGGCGCGCACGAGTTTGACCCAACGGCAAACTCGGCCAAGCTGATGACACGCGCGCGCGCATGATGCAAACGAGCGCCGCTCTTTCGATATTCCGACCGCTTTGGTCGAGCGGACTCATCTTCCCAGCTTCCCTCCAAACGTTTAGCCGCGAACAGAAATTCCAGCAACTCGAAGAGGATCATGTGTTTACAGATGAATCTTTTAAATTGATTCTACAATACGTCGTAGTAGTCGGAGTTGGATGTTATCTGCTTTCTTTTAAATTTAAGTATATATGTATATTGTTGCAAAAATCGACCCTCCCCCCGTTATTCTTTAACATAAATGTTGTTAGGAAAGATCATTGAAAAGCAAATATCTCGCGAGATATTTCATATTTTATCGTGGTACACTTTCTGATATGAAATGTGAAATATTGATGTAAAACGTTCTCTCTTTGTGATAACCTTGTCTTAATATCTATGTAATAGAATGTCAAGAAAAATCGATTAATGCAAAAACCCACTTAGCTATATTTAAAAGGAAAGTGCAATTGCACATCGCAAATACATTGTGAAAAGCTTGTGAAAAAAGTAATGTCATAGAAAGTTGAATCTCGTTATATCCTTCCTCTTTTTGCTCTGCACCGTTTTAATTATTAAGAGAAATATTTCCTCTACAAGTTGCTAGAATTACTCCGTATTTCGCAGTTTCTCGAATATATTTTTAACGCAGAAACTTTGATATTTTAACTTCGCGATAATTTGTAATACAACTCGAAACATTTATTATTAAAATAATATAATTGCAGGTTGTAGAGCACTTTGTATATCCAACAAGAATCGAGATATTTCCAGGAGTAGAAGCGACTCACATTTTAATCAGTCAGAGCAGCTTCTTACCGTTTATTATAAAATCGTTATTTCATGCAAATTAATGCGGAAGAATATAAAGAATTTATATCAACGTGCATTATCTTGCGCAAGGTCCTGTTTTGCATTCTTATTCTGTCGATAATTTGAGAGGAGCCTTTTAACGTACTACGGTTAAAAAATTAAAATACTTTGCGCGGCATGCAATTATTTATTGACGTGGACGCGGTAACTAATTGACGACGATCATTTACGTTTATTTTTAAGAGAGAACTGTCAGGAAACTGTCTCCTTGGTAAAAAAAGTTTATCCCATTTATTACCATCATTTGTCCACGTCGGGCGTCGATGAAGATCGACGCTGAGCGGGGGAATTATAATTTTTACGCATCGGTTTACCGTGTGATAAACGACCTTCGGTCGCGGATAGAGACATCGTATATCGGTGAAGTGAATGCATCGGTAGCCCGTTCTACGTCTCGTCGTGGAGGCGATTATGCGCTTTCGAGAAACACACGCGTGGCGCGTGGCTCTGACGCGCGCACTGAAAATATATCATTTGGCTCGCGGCGCGTTCTACATTGTGCGCGCGTAACGCGTGCCGAATCGCGTCGAATAACGAGCTCGGCCAAGCTCTTAATGCGCAGCGTTCTAAGGGAAGCGGCGGATTACAACAAGGCTCTCCTCATATTCGAGTGACGTGACGTCAGAGTGTCAATTGAGTAAAAAATTATCGACGACGTTTGACGATGAACGAGGGCGATTGCGTAATCGGAGCACAATGCAACCTCTGTAATCTCAAATTGGCGCGTCATAACTTTCGGATTATTATTTATTACAATAAATCCCCCCCCCCTCCGTGTTTTGTCTCATATTACGATTTTTTCCCTTGCTCTACCATCTCTTTATCTACATCGGAGCGCTCGTTTGCATCGGTAAATTAAGACAGCGGTCATCGGCCCCGTTCGTCGCCAGCAATTAACGATCTATGTCAATTCGCGAGGGCGTCTCCGTCCCGATTTGCTTTTATTCTCTGTGTCTGTTTAGTAATCGCGGGTGCGCGGTTCAAGCGAGAACAACGAGTAAATATGTCGCACGGTCTAGCCGTAGCGTCGCGATTAAACGCTGAGCTAGATGATCCGTAATAACAGTGGGATCTGCAAAAACGCTGGCCACCGCTCGTATCTTGCTTGGTTACCTTCGCTTTGTTTACTTTAGTCGATAAGCGCTATCTGCGCATCGCACGAATGAAAATCACGCGAGCCAACTTCGCATTCAGCGTCAGTCGATGCAAAGCACATTCGCTCTTGTTCGTATTCTTCCCGCAAAACATTCTGCGCGAAAACTCATGTAAAGTATATGCGGCCGTCGCAATCATCGTAAACATTGAAGTTTCGTTCAGCCATTTTAAATTATTTCAACGCTTTGCACGTATAATTAAAATATGGTAATAAAAATTCCTTTTCGATTACCTTGTAGCAGTACTTAATTAATAATACGTTTCTGCTAACAGTCGTTTAATCAATCAAACGTGTCTTGCTCTCTCTTCTTCGGAAGAAAATTTTTTTTTCAAACAAGGCCTCGTTTCTGAGAAAGGTGACTTTGAAAGTTGAATGACTAAAAATATATCACGCTCCTTCGAGTTTGGACGATCTTCAACGAGTCGTGTGCGTCATTCAGATTCGCTGTAACAACGCTATAAACACGCAAATAAATGCATAACCGCTGATTCAAATAAAAGTAGGGTTCTCTCTTCTCCGTTTTTCCGTCCTCTTTCGCTCGCTCGCTCGCTCGCTCGCGAAGAAGCTGACGCCTTGAAGAAATCGCAACGACGAGCGTTGTCGCGTGCACGCGAGTGAAATACGAGCCGCGTCGCGCCGTAACGTGACGTGCGTAACCATTCGACGACACGCAGTCTCGGGACGCGGCGAGGCGCGCGGTTGAACGTGCTCGTAGTCAGCTGTAGCCAGCTGTAGCGTCAGCCACGAGTGACTGGCGATAATTCCGCGCTCGGTGCTCGGTGGCTCGGTACTACGTTTTCTCGTGCCAGACGCGCGAGGCGCTTTCGATCGGCCGCGCTATAGCGCAAATCCGAGATGTTTAATCACTCGCCACGCTCGACACCTCGGCCAATTCAATTTTCTCCGAGAAAACGAAAATTGAGCACAGATTGCGTAACAAACGACACCGGAGACGTCAATCTTCTTTTCCGCAACGAACTCGCCGTGAAAGGCGGTCAATTTGTCCTCGTATTCGCGAGCGGAATAATCGCGCGACAATTTTATTAACGTCGGCGAGCACGTAACTGCAAGCACGTCGTTCTCCTATAATTAATGCGCCGTGCATCTCCTCGTCTTCTCCTCGCTCCTCGAAGTAAGAGCACTCCTTATCCGTTATTTAACCTTGCACAGTGTTAACAATGCCCGACGTACCGCTCCGATTCCTTTTAAACGTCATTTATGACCGCTGTATTCCGAACGAGCCGAGTCTTTAAGACTTTTTTTTTAAAACGTCGTAAAGTAAGAACTCATATATTAATCGCGATATACGAGACACGTTAAACGATCGCGAGCGAAACGATCTAGTTGTAAGGACGAAAAAAAAAGGAATGTTTAATGTCGAAAATTAAAAACTGTCGCGGTAGATAACACTTAAGAGCTTATAACGTTACGCGCGATTACGCAACGCTTCACACGCTATGCGATTATGTTTTTTACCTCTTCTTTTTTTCCTTTTTTAATGCACTCGAGCTGCACGTGCAGTACGTGATTGACAGAGTGGTGGCAGTTTAATTACTCACACGCAGATTTTCGAGGCACGTGCACCGCCACTGTGCTGCAAATAGGTATTGCCCATCGCGGTTTTGAGAATTAATGGCACTTCTCCATCGCGCGTTGCGTCAGTTAGGGTACCGAGCGAGGCCCCGCGATTGTCCTTACACGAGCGCATCTATCTTGCGTGGCGTAGCGTGGCCGTTATTACCGCAATCGCCGCTCTATCGCATTAAAGCATTCACAATACGCGTCCGATCGTCTTTTTAGCCTCGTTATTTCTTCACTCTTGCATCGCATCCGGCGATGGAAACGCACCATCCGGCAATTACGATCGCGGTACGAGCTCTTTACGGAAATCAGGTCGTAATCAGCCTAACCCGTCTTTCAACCGAACAGTGCTTCTTTCTTGCCTAAAGGCGTGATATCGCCCTTGATTTACTGAAGCGGAAAAGACTTTCCCAGCTTCAACGTGCAGGAGGATCGAGAAAAGATACTCAATGTTTAATATTTTCATCTAACTGCACAAACATTACTTAATCTATGTATAATCTACATACATTATTTATATCTCAATTATCTTAATATTTTTTTAGATTTACGATGTATTTGAAAATCTAAAAGCTTCTGTCTTAAAATATCTTCTACATATTGTCATAATCATTGTTAATAACAGAAATATGTTCAAGTATCGATATAATTGTTTGTTATTCTAAGAATCGCGAAGGGAGGGGATAAAGTTCCAAGAAAAGAGTTGGAGGAAAAGTTTGCGAACGAAGAATCTCTGTTCTATAACGTCTAAGCGTAGGCTCCAGTCACCGATCGTTCATGCGTAATTGACTTTTCTGTGCAGTGTCAGCCAGCTGATGGAGGCGATCGAGAGGGAATGTGGTGTGGTAGCGGCGCATCAGGTGCTGCTCATGAGCGGAGGCGAGTGCTTGGAACCACATGCACGCGTGTGCTCCTACTCGGCTGGAACCGACACGAATCCGATCTATCTGTTCAGCAAGGCCGCCATTGAGAGTAGCCTTCCGCCCACGCCGAGTATAGATTACGGTTCCGGTGAGTAACTAGCTTCTTTTTCTTCACCCGCGAATCTTATCGTATGAAATATAGACGATGATTTCCTAACAGCACGCCAATTTGCGTAATTATACGTTAATACCGATTATATTAATTGGAAGATATTTTTTCACAGCGAAATATGCTTTTTTTTTTTAACAAGAAAAATATCAGCACCAATATCGGTCTTATACGAAACGTGACGGAAGAAAAATATTGTTGCAGATGACGTGTAAATGATCGTGTTTTTGCTAATTAATCAATATCTATTATAAACACTTGTACGTGCGGCAATATTTACACCAGCGTGTATCACGGGATGAACCGGTTCTTTCTGTAGCGCGATAAATTCGTCAACTCATTCGAAATGCCCGATAGCGTATCATTAGGTTCTCACGGTTTATAATTCTGTCAGCATTGCGAGTGTGAGTGATTAATTTCGACCAACAAAACCGAACATTTCGATATTCCATCACATCGCGCGGTTTATTAGCAGAGAGTCGTATCGGAAGAACAATCAATAAGATCTTTATCATTATTGTTTTTCTTGGAAAGGAAAGAAGCGGGAGTAATATATATCAGCGTCGAAATAATCGTCACCGACTTGATCTTTATATAAGAACATTATATTTCTAAGAATATTATATTTTGATATACGTCATATATATCTTTTTATTTTTGTATCTCGTGATGAAGAAGATTAAGGAAACACGCGATGCTCTTTTTTAACAGAAATGCGTTTCTGTTTTCATCCCGTTACTCTTAATTCCCGAGAGTTCAATTAGGCTCGGTGATACGCGCGTTGTCCTATTTTATACTTTCTTCACTCTCTTCTTTGTTTTGTCCCGTTAGATTGCCGCGTGTCGACTCGCTTCATTACCGCGCCCGTTCTCTCTTTCTCCTTGATCGTGCGCGATCGAGGTGCGAGCTATGATTTAACAGCACGCATACTTCTTGTGGTGAGTCGTGTTTCTAGACCGTTCGTGATACGACCCCAAATCACACCCATCGTGAAATCAATACGCCACCATCGATCTAACGCGAGCGATCTAGCGATCTAACTAGCATACGAAAGGCACGACTTCTCCAAGGATCTAAGATCTAAATTAGCACAAACTTTCTGCACATAAATTATACCGATAAATTTTTATTGCTTTATTTAATTTATGTTACATTAAATTGATAATATTGTGATGTTTTGCACACGTTAAGTCTAATTGAAGTTGGAAAATATACGGATTGATCTTTCGATAACTCCACGTTAATATTTTTGTATGCAAAATGATGAGAATAGGAGGAAGAAAATAATTGAAAGAATTATGTAAAGAAATATTTAATAAAATCAAAGAGATAATTTTTATATTTCGAATGTTATTTCATTAGACGTAAAAATTCTCTCTTGAAACCATACAATTTTTATTAAATCCATTTTTTTCACAGATACTAATATTTAGCGCAAGTCAACATGGCAATTTTAAATGTTTCACTCTGCATAATAATAGGATATAAAAGCCGTTATACCTGTAAATGCAGTTTAATAAATGTACATTTTGCTGATTATAGTTTTTTTTTTGTATTTCCTTCGATAAATCTGTGTTTCTCTCTCTATTATAACGACTACTGGTGCGATAATTATGCAAAAGGTGCTAGATTTATTCCAGTTAATTACACCATCGGGTATATGTTTTCTCGTGCTAACATGTCATGTCCAGCACGATGATCCAGCACGAGTACGAGATAATGGGAGGTACGGATTATTTATCCGGGACGCCGTTAGGCCGCTAATTGGCATCAGAATGTAGAACGGCAACGGGCGCGTTATGCATCGATTAAAATGTTCATGTTGTCGCGTAAACTTTGCCGGGTCATAGACGTCGACGTCGTGAGACTTCGACCGCGTCGTTAACGAGGCTCGTGATCAACCGTTCGACCTGATTCTGTTATCCACGGGATAACCATCTGGTTCTCCGTTCGCGTGCGCGCGCGCGCGAGTAGTTGCATAGATCTCGGCGACGTGACATCGAGAGCATCAAGTTCCCGTTGCATATAACGCGAAACTAGGCCACTCAGCACGCGGCGTGACGCTTTTCCGTGGAATCACAAAAATAGTCGATCAGTGCTTCCCGAAGTCAGTCGCGGCGAGGCAGCTTTAAACTCTGTCGATCACGGAGGTTTTTCGTGCGACGTACTTAGGAGGCTTCAAGTGCAGGCGGTTCTCTCGATAGACGAGAAGCGGAGACATACGCGTTGAGACGTCCGTTGAATTATGGCAGACGTATTTCTACGGTCAATTGAATTACGGCGCGTATACCGGCGAAGGTAACTCAAGGAATGGACATTTACGAGTCCACACGAGGCTTACGGAACGAACGAATGGAAAGTCCGAGCTTCTATCATTGCAGCTCTGGGCTGTCAACGTTATGAACCTCGAACGAACACGCGCGCATTAAATAATAGTAGGTCGTTATGTTCGCTTCCACTAAAGGAACTCCGAGTCGTTAACAATTTATCGAAATGTATTATATCTCGGGATGCTCAACTTCGGTCAGGATTAAATTAAGCTCAGGATTATCGGCCCTCCGGAAGGGCGACATTGAATTGGTCATTGTTTTGGAGCGAATAGGACGGAACCGTTTATCGGGAATCGAAGACATCGAGATGACGTTGGAATTGTCAGCTGATTGGGAATCAGAGAGGCCTCCATCATTGATCGCGAGAAACACGAAACTTATTGACGGGATAGTACAGGATATACAGCAATTCAACGCTAAACATATCGCAGCGTTATTTCTTCAGTGATGAGTGATTGATTCTTGCTTGAAACGAAGAAGACTGCACTTTTATACCTTGTCCGTCTGTACTTTCAGTGTCGCGCGATCATCCAACATTGATATCTGGAGAACCTCTTATGTCAATTTTTATCAATATAGATTAATCTCGGTTTAACTTACTTTCTTTTATCTTTTTCTAGTTCTAATAGTAAAAATTAGAATGTCAATTTGAAGCGATTTAATTTAAGTGATCCGAGCGTTGGCTTTGCCATTAAATTTAATAATTTTCTATCAGTTGGCTCCGACTCCGCGGTCAACTGGATCTCGTTCGCGGACACGAGACGCGAGCGAAATTGCATTTGCCGCAAGATGATATCTTTGGCATTACGCGATATTCCATCTTCGACTTGTGATCTTCGAGATTGACCTTGATAAAAATTTTATCACAGGCAAAACGGTACAGGTCTCTTTCTCTTCGTGTTTCCTTATCAATTATTTCTGGATCGAGAAAATATTCTCATTAATCTGCAGGATCGGATAATATTAGACCAAACGAATAGTCGACAAGAAACAAGTAACGATATGTAATATTTAATTATGAGGTGAATTATAAGATATTTATATATAATTAGGGATCATAGTGTCACAACAGTAACGATATAATCGATACATCAATCAATATCTTACATCTATCTTTTGCGCGTTTATGTTGTCGCACGTAGAAACCTTATTGGAGCACTTATTTCCTTCGTATCTATAAATATACGTACCTAAATATACATGCATTGTAATTATCTGCCTGTGACGCGATAAGTCTTCCTCTTTTAATAACCATACGGCACGTAGTCTCGTTTGCGATACGTAATATCGCGGCATTGCAAAAAATTACATCCGCTATCGCGTTGCAAGGAGATACATTTGCACCGAGCCGAAGACAGTAACGATAGCTTTACATTCGGAGTTCGACGATCTACTGGTACAAATCACGCGATACAGCTTTAGAGAAATTGTGGATATTGATCAATAGAGTAAAAGAAAAGTATTACCCGCCAGGAATGGCGCTACGTGCATCGGTAATTTTATAACATGCTGACAGAAAATTTCGCAACATTGCATAAAACTCGGTAACCGCGTTTGAAAGCAAGGGAGCGATTTCCCATGTGAGTATCGACGACGGACTTTAACGTATTTCATCTCCATTCTTATGGTTTGAAACGAGGACAATTCGCATTCAGTTTACAAAATCTACTCTATAACGTTAGATTCCGTCCTGAGAGTGAAGTTAAGCCCGAGAACAGTTGCGCCGGGTCACCGTGGCCCAGGCTATTACGTTTTCACCCTGTATACGCGCGTGTGGCAAGTATATGTGCATATAAAGTCGATACCGTAACTAGGGGTTCGTTAGGTTACCACACGGGATGGTTTTTCATTCCTGGCTTTTAGAGAAATGTTCTAAACGAGACAAAGATAACGACACAAAGAAATACACCGAGTATATTATGTATTTCCTTGCAACAATGCTGTCCTGTGTTTTCAAAATTATAATAAACTATAAATTGAAAAGTTATTTCATCTAGTTATTTTAATAGGTATTCCACAGCATGAATAGCACATGTATGTCTTATATTATGTTTGAAAAAATTTTGTTTTTGCGATTTTTGACTCAACGATACAGAAACAAATTTTGCGGTAATTAAATATTGTGTTTGGAGCAGAACGCAAAATTTCAAGTTGGAAATTAACAGAGGATTGATTTCTAGCATTCAGCATTTCGCAATCGCGAGAAATTTAACTTTCTGGGAAGCATCAGAAGGATACGATTGAGTTGTGATATTTTATATATTTTATATCCTGTTAAATTAATAATAACGCAGTAATCAGTAACTTAAATCGCTTATGCATTAAAGCATCGTTATAATGCTGCGAAGGAATCGCGTGCAGACTTAAAAGCAAAATTGTTAAGGTAATGTCAGGGAATTGGTCGAAGCAATAAAGCACGAAACACGTCGGGAAAACGTTCTCGCGTTGGTCTGACGCTTGGTCGAGAGGCGGTCGATGGAAACCTCCGGCGCGGCGAGACCTCGGACAGAACCGCGGAAAGCAATAATACAGCGTGCGCGTGTACGAACTCGGTCGCATGTGCACACACGGGGATTACCGTAATCGCGTACATTGCTGCATCGAGTACGGCACAACAACGTTACCTCGGATGTGTGAATGCGCGCACGC